ACTGTCTACCAGGGGTGGGCAAACTTTTTGACTCGAGGGCCACAATGGGTTCTTAAACTGGACCGGAGGGCCGGAACAAAAGCATGGATGGAGTGTTTGTGTGAACTAATATAAATTCAAAGTAAACATCATTACATAAAAGGGTACCATCTTTTTTTTTTTAGTTTTATTCATTTCAAACGGGCCGGATCCGGCCCACGGGCCGTAGTTTGCCCACAGCTGGCTCTAGCCCCTCTGCAACGGGGGATCGTCCTCAGTAGCAGCTTCCTCCCACCCCACCTCCCCTGTGTGCAAAATGGCCACGGCCCTAGCCCAAGCTACAGCTGACCAGTGAGGAGGGAGCGAGACAGGGAACCCGCGTCCCCAGGGGACTCCACAAACGCGTTCTCACTGGGGCTTCATGGACTTGGGAATTTGGAGAAGTAGCAGCAGCAGGCTCTGGGCCCAGACAGTCTTCTCACTGCCTGAGGCTGTGTGACCTCGGGTTGGTCACCTGCCCTCTCTGAGCCTCATCATCCCATCCAGGGATGTGGAGATGCTGTTCCCCACCTCCACGACTTCAGTGCGTCCTGAGACACTGGAGAAGACTCCCACCACGGAGCCGACGCTGCGGCTACGAATGTATTACCTCCAGCCCCAGCGGGACTTCTTGGCAAAGCTCTTACAACCACCTAACCTGCCGCCTTTCCCATCCCCACTGTGGCATCTCTACAGCTTCCCTGCTCTCGTCAAGCCCCGCGTCATGGGCTCATTGACGCTGGCAGACACCCTCTCACCGCCTTCTGCGCTCACTCCCTCCCGCCCTCTTCCCTGCCTCAGTGGCGTCTTTTCTCCTATTCACAGTTCATTTGACCTCTGAGCTCTGGCTCTCATTTTCGCCATATCCCCTGGGGCTCGCTACCTGTCTGTTCCTCTCAGCTCAGTTCTCAGTGCTGCTTCCCAACTGGCATCTCCTCAACATGATAAGTCACACTCGGATTTTAAAAGAATACGTATGTCTTCTCCGAGCCTGTATGCCATCCTAGTTTTTCAGCCAAGTTTCTTCAAGAAGAGCGTGTAGCTGCTGTCTCCACGCACTCACCAGCTCCCTACATCAGCCCCCACCACCCCCGGAACCTTATCTGGCAAAGATCATTCATCCAGATGGGCAAACCTAATAAAGTCTTCAGCCCCTGGGTTTGCTCCTTGGTCACTAGTGGCTGTTGCCCTGTCCCCTGCAGGCTCTGGAACACCTGCCTTCCCTGCTTTCTCTCCAACCAGACTTTCTGTGCCTCCTTTGCAGCCCCTCGTCCATGTGCCCGGGGGCTCCATCCTTGCCCGTCTCCTCCTCACTGTGGGCTGATTCCTCAAGCCTGTGCTGTCCAATGTGGCGGCCACTGGCCATGAGTGGCTGCTGAGCACCTGGCACGTGGCTCAGTTGAGATGAGCTGTGAGTGTGAAATGTCCATCCAAGGGCAAAGGCTTGGAGTTCAAAAAAAGAGCACCTGCCATATTTCATTCATAAGTTTTATGAAGATGAGACATGGAAATGATTTTTTACATGTATGTATCGGGTTAAGTAAAACAGGTTCTTAAAGGTGTTAACGTAAAAACATTCAACCCTGTAAAGAATTTTGGTGAGTTTATTTGAACCAAACTGTTGACAATCGCCAGGAAGCAGAATCTCAATGTATTGGGATAATGCTCCAGAGAACGGCAGTTTTTCACCTTGTTTTATATGTTACTAGAGGCCCGGTGCATGACATTTGTGCACTGGGGGTTGTCCCTTAGCCCGGCCTGTGCCCTCTCGCAGTCCAGGACCCCTCGGGCGATGTCTGCCTGCTGGCCCGGAGCAGGCCTAAGCCAGCAGTCGGACATTCCCCGAGGGGTCCTTAGTGCTGCCACGGAGGCAGGAGAGGCTCCCACCACCACTGCTGCACTCACCAGCCCTGAGCCCGGCTCTGGCTGAGTGGCGCTCCCCCTGTGGAAGCACACTGACCACCAGGGGCAGATCTGCATTGAGCATCTGCCCTCTGGTGGTCAGTGCACATCATAGCAACTGGTCGTTCCACCGTCCAGTCAATTTGCATATTAACCTTTTATTTTACATTATAATCAAAAGAGGAGACATAAGTGGGTTACATGAAATCCATTGGTGATAGATTAAGGAGGCAGGAGAAAGCAAAGCGGGGAAACCTCTGGATTGGATAAAAAGTAAAATGATGGACACATACTTCTTTTACTGAGGTGAGCGCAGGATAGTTAACAGTCAACAGTTAACTCAATAACAATGAGGGGACTTGTGGTCTCTGCAGAGCGGTGCCTGTGCTTCGAGGGGTCGGGAAAAAGGAGAATTACTTTGACGTGCCAACGATATGTTATCATAGATGCAGAAAGACAACAGGCTCCATGTAGGTAAAGATTGACCCTTGTTAGGAAAGATCCTGGCCTGGGACATGACTAACCAACATAAACTGCTCTTAAAGTTTTCATGTCAGACCATCCTTGTGGTTACTTTAGGTCTTTGAGTTTGCAAGACCGCCATGCAGCCCTTCCCTGAGCTTGTCATGTGGTCCCTTGTTCATCCTTTCCCCTGTTCCTTTTTTCCTTTCTCATGTGGCTGCAAGTAAATGCATAATTACCCAGGCGGCTCTAGGGGCAGCAGTGCCTGGGACAAGCACACCCACCTGAATCAGTGACGGCCCTGGCCACCCAGCCCTGTGCCGAGGAGTGCAGTCCAGGAGCCCACTGTGGGGTCTGAAGCACAGCTCTGCCACTTACTCTCTGAGTGCCCTTGGGCGCGTTACTTGGAACAGGGAGGGCCTGGTGTATGGAAGGCACGCGTGAAAGCCGGCCATTCTTACAGAGACGGCCTCTGCGTGTTTGTTTGTTGATCCTCACCTGAGGACATTGCTTTTTAGAGAGAGTAGAGGAGGAGAGACAGAGAGAGAGAAAGTTCGATGTGAGAGAAACTCGATTCCCTCATGGGAATCGAGCCTGCAATTGAGGTGTGTGCCCTAGACAGGAATCGAACCCGGGACCCTTCAGTCTGCAGGCCAATGCTCTATCCACTGGGCCAAACTAGCTAGGGCTCAAGGGTGCAATTCTGTAACACATCATCTGTATATTGTATTGTGTGTTCACCACCCCAAGCAAGTTTCCTTTCATCACCATGTATCCCCCATTTTACCCTTTTCTACCTCCCCGCTCCCCCCCACCCCCCCCACCCCACCCCCCACCCCCCACCCCCGCCTTTGCCTTTGGTAATCACTCTTCTGTTGTCTGGGTCTAGAGTTTGCATTTTCCTGCCTTTCTCCTCGCACTGCCTCAAGTCAGCTCTGCATCACTTCTGGTCTGAGCTGCAGCCATCACAGCCCCCTGGACACATGGCTGCTGAAGTGTGAGTCCCAAATCCCAGAACTGGCTGCATCACTCCTCTGCCTAAAACCCGCCCAAGCTCCGTGGGGTGCATGGGAAACGTCTGCAAGACCCACCAGGATCCACCACATCCTCCGGTCCCCTCTCAGCGCAGGCCCCCTCGCATCCAGGGCTCCGGCCACATCCCAGCCCTGTGTAATCCCAAACATGCCAGGCTGTGCCTTGCCTCCCTGCCGTTCCCTCCCTCTGTTATCTTCCATGAACGCCCACAGCCATGTCAGATTCGGCAGCACCAGGCTCGGCTCAAGTTCAAGAGTTTCCTGAACTTCTCCCGACCCCTTGGCCCCACCCCCCTGCCCCCGCCACTTGGCGCCCACACTGTGCCCGTGCAGAATTCTGCCGCCCCACCTGCGCTCACGCCTCTCGGTTGACAGGCCTGCTTCTCTCACAGACCGTGTGCATCTCAGGGATAATGATGTGATGATGAATTTATGCTCGGTGCCAGCTCTGCCCGAGGCCTGGGCACGGGCTCACATACTCCTCTTATCTCCCTCAATCCTGAGTTGTACTCATAGCCACCTTATAGTTGAGGAGGCTCCAAGATATACCCTCCACCTCCCTACCCTGCCCCCCTCCCAGAGTTCAAAGCCAGATGGTCTTCCTTCAGAGACCACACGGTTAACCTTGAGCTACTTCTTTTCTACTTGAGATATACTAGTGATTGACAGGTAACACTGTGCGTGTTGGAGGGCCATGCATGTGGATTTGATACACTTGGGCCTTGCAATGTGATAACCATCGTAGCGTAGCCAAGACCTCCATCACCTCACAGCGTCGCCATTTCTTTTCTGTGGTGAGAACGTTCAAGGTCCACCCTCGGCAACTTTGGAGAATATGATGCAGTGCTGTTGAGTGTAGTCAGTCACTAGACTGTGCATTGATTGGAACCCCAGGACTTAGTCAACCTCTGGTTATACCTTTGTACGTTCAACAACGCCTCCCAAATCCCCCACTCCCACACCCTGGGAACCACCACTACTCTCGGCTTCTATGAGTTTGGCTTTTTTAGATTCCACGTATAAGTGAGGCCACACAGTATTAGCCACTTTCTGTCTGGCTCATTTCACGTAACATAACGTCCTAAAGGAGCATCCATGTTGTGTCCTTCTTTCTTGCCGCAAATCACATCTTGTTTACTCGTTCATCCACTGATGGACACTTAGGTTGTTTCCCGTCTTGGCTAATGTGGTCAGTGCTGCCCTCGGTTTACTTTGATAACCTAAGCGAGCATGGTTAGCGTTTTCTTTTCCCTTCACCACTTATCCCCTCTGTGCTTAGCAGGGTTAGTTTTTGAAGCTAAGAGCTCAGAGAAGGACCTTGCCCTGCCCAGGGTCACCCGGGAGGTCCCTCCCCAGCCGGAAGTGGAGCCTGGGCCTCCTGGCTCTCTGTCTTTTTCTCATGTTGGGTTGTTTGTGTGTCCTTGCCGTGAAAGCCCAAGGCTGATGCCCTCCCCTCTCCCCCAGAACAATGGGAAGGAGGGACTCTGGGCAGCTTGCCTGCAGACATGTCCCGAAGCAACGAAATGTCCAGGCTGAGGTTGAAATAATAAACAAGGCTGAGGGAGCATCTGCTTTGTTTGCTTGGCTGAGTGTGTTTTTATTCTGAATGATCTGGAATTCAATCCTGCCTGGGAGGCACCAAGCCTTGCTTTAGTCCCACAGTTGTTAGAGCGCAGGGTGGAGCCGCTGAGCTGAGCTGTGCTGACAGGGAGGCAGAGCCAGTCAAGTCCAAGGCCGGGACACTCCGCGTGGGAGTCCAGACAGACCGGGTGCTGGGCAGAGACCTGGGAGAGCCGGGCTCTTTGTCAGAGCCTGTCACTGGGCGGGAGAGGGGGTTCATTTCATGGTGAATAAATTATACCCCTCCAAGTCAACCGAGGTGACCCCAAAGGGGAGACTCACGGAGGGTTGCTCTGGACGACAACAAAGCAACCCTTAATGAGCTCTGCAAGGAGCCTGTGGCCCTCCCCTCAGCCCACGAAGCTGGCAGGTCCTGGGAGGAAGGAGGGAAAGGGCAGGAGGGCCCGGGGAAGTTTCAACAACTTTTATAAAACCGCTACCAAGGGTGCTCTTCGCGATGCATTGTGCAAGGCCCTTCCGGATGAAGTGTAAGGGGACAAGAATGTCGTTTCTTCGGCAGAACTGGGGCACTTCCCTCTGGCAGATAGGAGAAGCACTGGGCCTCAGATGGAAGAAGCATCCAAGGTCATTTCCCGGCCTCGTGCTTGACTTTGCTCCTACAATCGGCTTTTCCCACCAGCCGGCCAGCTGCAGGCTTTTGTCTGATAAGAGTAAGGAAAAAGCAAACGTATCACCTTCCCACAAATAAAGACACGAAAGAATGTGGCTCAGATGGGTAGTTAAGTGGGCTTCCCAGCCCTGCACCCCGAAGGAGACAGACTTACCCACATGACACGGGCAGTGCTGGTGGCCTCGGGCATCCCCACGTGGTTGAAAACTTACCGTCTGGGAAGCAGAACAGATTACAGGCTGTTGGTGGGAATGATGGCTCCCAACGAGAAAGGAGAGGAGAATGGGCTGGGTGCTGGGCTTGCCCCATTTCTCCTCCAAACCTCCCACCCCCCACCCCCATCCAAATACATCAACCCTCACCCCCACCCCCACTCCTGGGAGGTGTGAATGACAATGGGCAGACTGGCCAGAGCGTTGCTCCCTCCACAGGAAGAAAGCTGCTGGAGTTTGGAAATAAGAAATCTCCCCTAATAGCTTTCTCCCAGCCTAAAGGTATTCGCTGCTGAAGGAAGGGCCTTCAGAGTGGAAAATCTGGCCTCAGATGAGGGAGCCTGGGCAAGAGTGTCTTCCTGCAGGCACACCCAGGGCAGCAAGGCGGGTCGGGGCAGCCAGGAGCCAGTAAATGCACTCACCTGTATCAGGATTGTTTTGACTGCAAGTGATGGAAAATTCCACCCCAGATTGGCTTAACCAGGAAGCCTTGTGGACTAGCTCAGAGAAGTCCCCAAGGTCCTCGGCCACTGGCCTCAGGCTTAGCTCCATTCCTGGTGGTTTCCTCTGTCCCAGGATGCTGCCGGTGACATTCTGGGTAATAGTCTTCGTTCTCAACATTCACATCCGTGATGAATTCGGATGCTCTTGTCCATCTGGCTGACCCGTTTGTCCATGCGTCCATCCTGGGCCATTGAGAGAGGAATGCTGTGTTCTAATTGGCTTAGGCTCATCAGGACCCACCTCCCCCGTGCTGGCTCTGGCTCTGCTCTGCCCCAGGCAGGCCTGTGACTTGCTCCCCCACCTGCTGCAGGTGTCTGCTCAATGCCGACTTATCAGGGAGGCCTCCAACCAACCCCCTATGAAATGGCATCCCCACCCTGACCTCCAGTTTCCCCCATCCCCTTTGCCTAATGTGTGTTCCCCATAACACTCACCTCCACCTACTATGTCATAGCTGTACTTGTTCACAAGCTTCTCACCCAGTTCTAGCCTTGCGTCCCTGGTCCCTGCCACGGTGCCTGGCTTATCGTAGGGCCTCAGTAAATATTTATCGAATGAATGACTGGGCTTCAGAGTGATAAAGCCCTTGGTTACCATCTCAGCTCTTCCATAGCCAGCTGAGGCCTGCAACAATTCTATAACCTGGCTGGGCCACAGTTTCTTCATGTGTGAAGTGGGGAAAGAATAGTACTTACTACCTAAGGTTGTTAGGAAGACTAAGTCAATTAATATGTAGCTGTTAGGCCCAGCAAGTGTGGTTTAGTGGTTTAGTGTTGGCCTATGAACCAGAAAGTCACGGTTCGATTCCCAGCCAGGGCACACGCCCTGGTTGTGGGCTCCATCCCCAGTGAGGGGCATGCAGGAGGCAACTGATCAATGATTCTCTCTCATCATTGATGTTTCTATCTCCCTCTCCCTTCCTCTCTGATACACACACACACACACACACACACACACACACACACATACACACACACACACACCCTAGAGACTCAGTGCATGAAATTCATGCACTTCGTGGGGGGGGAGTTCTCTCAGCCTGGCCTGCACCCTCTCACAGTCCAGGAGCCCTCGGAGGATGTCCGACTGCTGGCTTAGGCCCGCTCCCCGCGGTGCCACAGAGGTGGGAGAGGGTCCCGCCACTGCCACTGCACTCGCCAGCCGTAAGCCCAGCTTCTGGCTGAGCAGTGCTCCCCTGTGAGAGCCCACTGACCACCAGGGGGCAGCTCCTAAGTTGAGCAGTGCCCCCCTGGTGGTCAGTGCACGTCATAGCGACCAGTCGTTCCGCTGTCGGACCAAAACCAGCTCTCCGACATCCCCCGAGGGGTCCCGGATTGCGAAAGGGTGCAGGCCAGGCCAAGGGATTCCACTGGTGCACAATCGGGGCTGGGGAGGGACACGGGGGGTTGGCCAGCCAGGGAGAGACCATGGGAGGGATCCAGGGAGTGTCCAGCCCATCTTACTAAGTCCCGATCAGCCGGACCCCAGCAGCAAGCTAACCTACCAGTAGGAGCGTCTGGTGGTCAGTGCACATCATAGCGAGCAGTTGAGCGGCCTTAGCATATCATTAGCATACTAGAGGCCCAGTGCACAAAATTTGTGCACTCGGGGAAGAGGGGCCTCCCTCAGCCCGGCTCAGGTTGTCTGACTGACTGCTTAGACCCGCTCCCTGCTTCTGGCTGAGCAACACTCCCCTGTGGGAGCACACTGACCACCAGGGTGCAGCTCCTGCATTGAGTATCTGCCCCCTGGTGGTCAGTGCACATCATAGCCACCAGTCGTTCCACCGTTTGATCGATTTGCATGTTAGCCTTTTATTATATAGGATTACACTTTGATTGGTTGAACGGCTGACCAGACATTTAGCATATTAGGCTTTTATTATATAGGATGTCAGCACCTGGCACATAAAAGGCTCTCATTAAAGGTGCTGTTATTATCCATCATTGTTATTACAATCATCATTATTATTGATTCATGGGATGAGTCACATGGTCCCCACCCAGTGCCCCATCCCAGCCCCCAGCCCCCAGCCTCCTCTCCAGCCAGGGGCGGGGAGGGTGATTCAGGTGGTGGCAGCCTGCCCTGTGAGTCAGCCCTAGGCCTCGGCCATACAGGGTCCCCTGGCACAGGCGGCCTTGGCCAAGGGGCCCTCGTGTGAGTCATTGGGGCCACAGCTTCAGCTGGGGGATACCTTGGCCGTGGAGTTTGGCGGCCAAGTGTGCACCCCCCCTCCACTCCCAGGTCCTTCCAGGAAGAGGCTGGGAACCTGCCCCGTTGTGTCTCAGCAGCCGCACTTGCCAGCGAAGTCCATCTGTTGGTAGAGCTTACAAACGCACCAGAGGAGGGTGAGAGGGGAAAGGAAAAGGATGGGAGAGGAAAACTATGAGGAGAGAGATGCCCTCCATGCTTTGCTTTCAAAGCAGGACAGTGTCTTGAACAGGCCTGGAGTTCAGAACTCACCGGGCCTGGATTTGGGTCCCCATTCCTCCCTGACGAGCTGGGCGGCCTTGGACAAGTCCTTCACTCCTCTGAGTCTGCACTGTGAAGTGGGAGGACAGCATCTCCCGCTCAGGGCTCCTGGGAGGACTTACTGAGGGGACCCATGCTGTCTTCCAGTCCCAAACCCTTCACGGAGCTTTCTCAGATCTGCCTGGTAAGGTCTCTGCATTTCGGCCACTTTCATAAAAGGAGAGGGGGCATCCCCTCCCTCCCTGTGTTCCTCCTAACTGCCCCTCCCCTCTCCTGCCCCAGAAAGGGAAAGGGCCAATCTAATTCAGCCTCTCATGGCAGCGCTTTACTGAGCACCTGCTGCATGCTGGGTACTATGAGCACTGGGTACAGACATCGTGGGTGAGGCCGACAGTGTACAGATGAGCAAATAGATACAGAACTATAATGTGACTCAGTACTAAGCAGAAGACAGAAAAGCATGAGGGAGCTTTTGGAGGAAACCTCAAAGGTGGTGGCATTTCAATAAAGACGTGAAGATTAAGAATGTGCCGCCATGCAAGGGGCAGGCAGGAAGAACCTTCCAGAGAGAGAGAACAGCATAAGCAAAAGCCCAGAGGCAGGAAAGAGTGGGGCTCAGGAGGCACTGGGAGCCCGGGATGCTGAGTGTCCCAGGCCAGGGCCGAGTGGCGTGAGAAAAGGGGCCAGGCCATCTCGGGGGTCACCTCCCGAACTTCCCGCCCCTCGAGGATCACAGCCTGTACTGTCTACTCCCACAGCCTCCCAGAAATTGTCCCCTCGTAAATCTGTTCCCGTTTTATAGTTGTTTACAGAGGCAGGGCTTGTGGGGGTACACTGTGGCCGGAAGCCCTGTGGACTGTTTGTGAAGATGAAATGAGATCAGACAGTAAACCGTGTATTTGCTTGGTATTTTCATCTGTTCATTCCATTCTGCTTCCTGGCACATAGTTGGTACTCATTAAAAAAATAGGTAAGACTTCGAGAAGGAAGGAGCGGGAAAGTACTGCGATACGTGAGGCCCCATGTCAGTTTTTCCTCCTCCCCATAAATGGTTACCAAAAATGTTGGAGTGGAGTCCATCACTTCACCTGGGAAACCTTCCCTACTCCCTTACCCCCCCACCCCCATGTAGATCAGGGTCCCTCTCCACACCCACGGCCCCCGTGCTGGCCTCTGTGGTGGCATTGTCACTCTTTACTGCATTGTCTGTCTGTCTGTCTGTCTGTCTCTCTCCCATGGAGCTCCTCAGTGACAGGGACTGTGCCTTAATTTTGTGTTTAGTACAACACTTTAGCACTTTACTTCATTGCAAACATGCTTAAGGACTACCCTAAATGGTGAGCTTACTCTCACCAACATGCTTTGCACTGAGAGCCTGGTGACTCAATCTCCAATAGAATTTGTACCATCTTTACAAGTGTAATAGCCTTTGTTGTTGTTTTATTTTATACTAGAGGCCAGGTGCATGAATTCATGCACTGGTGGGGTCTGGCTGGCCTGCCCCAATGGGGCCCATAGGACCAGGCCAGCGGGGGGAGGGGCTGTGGGCGATTGGCTGGCTGGCCCTGCCCCAGTTAGGGTGTTGGGGGCCAATCAGGGGTGGGGCTGGCCAGGGGGAAGGGCTGTGGGCAGTTGGCCAGCCGGCCCTGCCCCCAATCGGGGTGTTGGGGGCCGACTGGGGGCCAGATCAGGATGGTTGGCTGCTGCAGTGTGTGTCATAGCTACCAGTTGCTCTGGTCATTCCGCCGGTCCAGGCACTGGGCTTTTATATATATAGATTTTTTCCATCACCGTTTATCCCCTCTATGTCCTTTCCCTCTGCATTCACCCTTCTACACCCCCTCTGTGTCCATGAGTTCTCTCTTTTTTTTCTATTTTGCTCAATCCCTCCACACACACACACACACACACACACACACACACACACACACACACACCCTAACACCTCCAGAGCTGTCTGCCTGCTCTCTATCTAGGAGTCTGACTGTTTTGCTTGGTATTTCAGTTTGTTCATTACATTCCACATATGAGTGAAATCAAATTTTCCTTAAGTATGGGCTGGTTGCACCTATAGACGGGTTTATTAGATACGCTGCCCCGGGGGGTTCTCAGACCCATGGTTGCCATGAGAACCAGGTAGGCTTTTTCTCCCAGGGATACTGCCCAGAGACTCCTGTTCTTAACTGCTAGGGGAGGGTGTTGGGAGTCAAAACATTAGATCCCTGGTTCCCAAAACCTGCACTGCAGTATATTTTAAATTTTCAAGAGAAAAAGCAGCTCTCGACACCTGTGAGACATGCAGATCACTGGCCAAGGTAGCTCCCCATGTCAGCCTTGGATCACAACCTGCTCCTTTCAATGGCGCTGCATCTTGGCAAAGCTGGGATTTGGGTGCTGGCTGTGCAGAAAAGCAAGAACCATGTGCCAATGAGCGGGCACTAGGAAATGTGGGCGATGGGGTCCGGCTGAGTCTGTGGTTTGAGAACTTGTGCAGTGCCCACCAAGCACACACATTCCATTAGTAAGTAATTCTCGTTATTTAAAATGAAATAAAAACATTATGTGTATTTTTTTAAATAATTACCAAGTTGTCCTGAAATAAATATTTATCCAGCAATTTAGCTCTAACTACTTAGTAGATGGAAGTGCTTGGTATTTCTCTTGGCCTAGGAATGCCATGAGATAATTCTTGAGATGGGAACCGTGAACCCAGAAAGTCTGGGAAGGGAACTTCTACATTATTAGGTTATTAGCAACTTCCATTTACTACTACTACTTCTACTTCTTCTTCTTCCTCTTCTTCTTCTTCTTCTTCTTCTTCTTCTTCTTCTTCTTCTTCTTCTTCTCTCTCTCTCTCTCTCTCTCTCTCTCTCTCTCTATATATATATATATATATATATATATATATATATATATATATATATATATATATATATATATATATATAATTGATTTCAGAGAGGAAGGGAGAGAGATAGAAACATCAATG